CGCTAGCCTGAAGGCATTGTGCTGTCCTTACGAGTTCCCAAACTCGTGTGGATACCTTTGACACTCCTTTGAGTCATCTAGGCAGGCCCTTGAGGTTGCCCCCAAGGTAGCTCGTTCTATACGGCTCGGTGGCAGCACGTATGGGGGAGGCAGGTCAGAGCTTTCATCACCTATACCCCCCTTATATATGCTTAAAATTAAAAAGCCCAAGTTGCCCGAGTAGACAGTTCTATGTCAGACCATCAGAAGGACCTTTTCTCACCAGTTCTTGGCCGAAATCACAACTCCAAATTGCGAGTTGTGACAATTAGCTCTATGCATTACTAATACCTTGTTTGTTATATTTTTTCAACTTGTGTATAACTAATTTATACATTATACTTGGTATTATCCTATGTATAAGTAATGCATAGAAAACTATGGCATTAGTAATACCAAGGCTACTAATGCATGCATTAGGTTGGTTAAAGATAAAATTATCCTTAAAGTCCCTTAAAGCTTGAGAATATGGAGGGCATTTTTGCAAACAACTATTTTTCTTAAAAATTATGCAATGCATTATAATTTTAATACACCACACCAAACAATAGATAATAAATAATATCTGCATAACTAATGCTTGCATTACTAACCCATGCATTACTAATCCATGCATTACTAATACACCTTATTTCGCACTATTCTTATACACCCTACCAAATGACCCCTTAATGCAATGCTATTAATTTGGTTTACAATACAATTCAATATGTGTATAAAGAAAATTACACATATACATAAATCATATTACATTAGTAATCATACAAAAAGTGTGCTTTACATTGAGTGTGTTACTGTTTTTAGATGAAATACAACAACATTCAACCAAACACTACAAAGCTTGCTGTTATTCAGGTTCCTCCGGATGGCGTTGATGTAGAGAAAAGTCCTATTCTTTCATACAATAATGATGCTGATTCTGATGACTTTAGTCCAACACCGCCTCTTCAGCCTAAGAAGAAACATGATGCAAACGTTGGTCCATCTTCATCACCGCCTCACAAAAAGCGCAAACAATAATTAAGTGATCCCTCAATTGCAGATAGTCCAATCCCACATGTGCCTGCAATAGCTCAAACCAAGTTTTGTCCCATTGATAAGATTGAATTTAAGGAAACTGTATTGAGTTCTAAGAATGTGGCAGATTCTAAATATGATGATTTGTATGCTTTGAGGCAGGTCTTAATTCATTCAAGGATTATGTAAGTATTGTTAAAACATATTCAACTTTACCGTTTATGTATTAACTTTNGAAGCCAATCAGAATACAGAAAGGGTTTACTAAAGAAAAAAATATACTGGGAGATATGATGGTGGTATTCAAATGTCAACCGAGGCCAACTTGCATAATAATCCCAAATGCCAAACACAACATAATGTACAAATTGGGGAGAATTCAGAGGTTAACATTTTTCAACCTCTCAATGATATGCAAGTCTGTATATGTTTTATTAAATATAATCTGAATACATTTATATACATGTGAATATAGTATTATATGTATTATCAATACATGTTACATAATACACTTATATACATATGCATACACTATTAAATGCGTTTTCATGATTTACTAAATACATATTGCAAAACAACATTCATAATTCTTCAGTTTAATCATGTATACAGCAACATACATGATTCATAATATAATTATTTACATGTAAACACAATGTTATATCTGTATTCATGTTGTGAATAAATATATATTGTAAAAATAGACTTTACTATTCTTCATTTTATTCAAGTATATATCAAAATACATTATTCAGAATACAATCATATACATGGAAATACATTAACAGAATATAAGTCTATACGCCTACTATGAAATTGTGAATTTTTTTTTGTTTTTTACTAATCTGACAAATACAATTCTGTAAAATATGTGCTATACTAATATATTCTATTGGGTATTATAAGGTTATGGAAAAGAAGCTGAACACCGACATTCTTGCCGATGAACCCCTATAAGCTAATGAGGTAAATCCTGTATGTGGTGACACATTAGATGTATCTACTGAGGTTAATCCTGTATGTGATGAAGTAAGAAAGGAAGGGCCTACTCTATCAGAGGTTCCGTTTGTCATACCACCTGAAACTGACGAGGATGTATCCAGAGAAATACATGTATCATAATTTGAGTTGGCGGATGAGTACCTTCCAAGTCAAATTCCAGACACTAGAATTGTGATACATCAAGCAACAAAAGTTGTTGATTCAACCCCTTTACCCTCTTATAGGACTTGACGTCCAAGTCGATTGTATTCTTCGCCTTATGAGTAAAACTTCGACTCGGCCGGTTAGTAAATACATATACAAAAATTATGTTTTATAAAGTGTTGATATATTTTCTCATGATAAGTATAATTAAATGTAGCTATTAATGATGACGATGAACTACATGTACCTCAGTAAAGTTGACTGCCATATTTGACAAGAAACACCCATTTGAAGATGATTTAATATCGGGGCCACATTATACGTTAGTCATTCAAGAATTTGAGAAATGGGTTCGTGATGATCTTCTGGCTAAACACAATCAAAAGTGAGTTACTTTTATCGATCTACAATGTATGGGTTTTATCAATTATTATATGAATATAATATTTTTTTTCAAATCCTTGTAGAAAGGATAAGGAAGACCATTACAAGAAACACAAGTCAAGACTGCCTATACCGTCGGATTTTGGAGTTCATGAAGTCACTTCAAAAGATTGGTTTTACCTTCTCTCATTTGACGGTCAACTATGGAATGACGATGTAAGATATAACACTTGTACATTCAGTTTATTTCATATTTTATACATGGTTTGTCAATACTTTGTGTTTCACTCTTTTGTTATTCTCATATAAATTCTGTATTCATGTTATTTATGTATCTGAATACAATGTATTCAGATGTATTCGATATTAACATAAATACATTAACATACGGTATTCAATGTATGTTAGTGTATTCTATGCTTTCATTGAATTAACTGTATTTTGGTGTATGCACTATAATCAATGATAACATTTTATCTCAAACTTCATTATTTTTCAATGTTATATCTAGCAATTTGTTATATGTAGTATGTATTTATCAGTATGTATTTAACTGTATATACTAATTACTGCAACACTTTTTAACAATATGTATTTGCATGTATGTACAGTTAAACAAGTACATGTATTCAACATGTACTAATGATACTTATTCAATTTTATATACATCATATTGATGCTATATTCTAGTACTTAGAAAGAAGGGCAAGTACAACCAAACCACCAACTTCAAATATACAAATGTTGATTGTATATTCAAGATAAGAGTTGCTGAAATATTCGACAAGTATAATGATACAGATAGCAATGCAAGTGTAGCCACAGAAGAAGATGTTGTATGTGAATACATAAGGGGCTACAGATTGCTAGCTAATGTACCATGGCATACAATTGATAATGTCTTGATACCAGTCAACTTTAAGGACAAACTTCATTGGATATTGGCAGTTATCTTATTTAAGGAGAGATGTATCAACCTATATGACTCCTACCGATCAGCAGACTGAGATAGATACGCTTGATAAGCTTGTACCTCTGTACCTATCGATCAGTGGTTTCTACAGAGATAAGCAAGGAATAGATTGGTCTCGTGAACCAACATACAATGACAAGGCACAAACTGATCCCTTTGATGTTGTTTTTATTTCGAATGTGCCTCAACAAAAAGCTGGGAGCATGTATGAATTCAATCATTTTTGTATTCTTGTATCATTTATAATACTAATAATATGAGTTTTATTTAATTGTGTCAACCTACATTTTCAGGGATTGTGGGTTGCATGTTGGGGCATACACAAAGTATTTGAGCATTTATGGATTGGTTCCACAAATAATATTTGATGCTAATTTACCCCGTCAAAGATATGATGCCCTCCTTTGGGACTATGCTATGCGAAAGATAGACGCTGATGCCATAAGCGACAATGAAGCACCCGCAAAGATTGTTAGACGAATGACAAATTCAAATTCTTCTGTGAAGATAGTTTTAGAATAGTTTTCGGTGAATTTTTTGAAGATAATTTTCTATGAAGATAGTTTTTTGAATATTGTTTTGGTAAAGATGGTTTTCTGTTAAGAACAAGTCATGTATTCACTTTATGCACTGTATTCAAAGTGTTTATTCAGCAGTTTATAATTTCAAAGCTTCACTTTGTTTCACTGTTTTGTCCAGCAGTATATATTCAATAGTTTATATTCATATGTATTGAACATAAGTATATATGTATTCAAATATATCTGCAATATGTATTCAAAATATATCTGCAGTATGTATTCAACAGTTTACTAAAAATAATCTTTTAATAAACTATGAAATGTATTCATCAGATGTATATATGTATTCAAATATATCTATAGTATGTATTCATATGTATTCCATTATATATTAAGCATTATGTATTCATATGTATTCAGAAGATTATAGTGTATATATACTGCAGTTTGTATTCGTATGTATTCAAATATATCTACAATATGTATTCATATGTATTCCACTATATAATAAGCATTATATATTCATATGTATTCAACAGATTATAGTGTATATATACTGCAGTTTGTATTCATATGTATTCAACAGATTGTATATATGTATTCAAAATATATCTGCAGTATGTATTCAACAGTTTACTAAAAAATATTTTTACTAAACTGTACTAAAAAAATTCATCATGCAAGAATCCAATACACCAATAAATCAATATGTATTATTCAAATTGAAGAAATCTATGACACATTGTTATTGCACTAATTCAAATCAGAACATGAACTAATTCCTACATGGAGCATTTCTACAAGTACGCTTATTATATCCTCCCCACCCACATATACTACACGAATGTTGATTTTTCTTCTGCAACAATTCACTGAACGACTTATCACGCTTCTTCTTTGGCCTTCCAGGTGGTCTTTTTCTATTTGGGTGGTAAGACAACTTTCTCTGATATATGTACTGGTATATTCCATTCATTTCGGTCAGGCAGCGGATACACGGGCACCTCGTATGTCATTATAACAGACTTTGGTTTGTAATAGTCCGAGCAGTAATCTTCTAGCATTAGAAACTTGCTCTTCAAGACAGCCCAAGCACGTGTGCATAGTAATTCGTCAACTTGGAACCGCCCACAACTGCACTCTTTCTCTAGGAGGCAAACTGTGTAATGCCTTCCTTCATCGTTCACCATATGCAAGTGTTCAGTCGATGGTACAACCTACATTAAACATAGAACTATAAGTTTTGAACATTTTTAAAAAGTCATATATATCTCAAAGAATAGACGTATTAAATACAGTATATATGTATACAATAATTTGTTTTTAAAAATATCCAGCATTAAACTTTTATTTAACTTTCAGAAATCTAAATATAATATATATTTGTATGAAATACAAACATATATGTATGTATGAAATACAATGACATTCAATGATATACAATGAAATATATTGAATACAGTGGAATACAATATATGTTTAGGCTGACAGACTATTAAAGATGAATACATTTAACTAAGGAATACAGTGATATATATTAACATATAGTCAATCTGCTAGGAAATGCATCCGATTAGAAACAAAACCACTGAATTCAACCAATGAAATGCAAATGTATAAACAAGTAATGTATACATATAATGACCACTTTTTAAAACCATTTCATAAAACAGAAAACATGCACAAGTGCTATAATACAATGAGCATGCAGTATGTGAATAGTAAAAATTGTATCAGAAATAAATACATGTTATACCAGGGCTAAATACATGATACGAGGACTTAAAGCAAAAAAAAAAAACTTACAGTCATACGTGTAGGCATTGCCTCTTTCAAAGTAAGCATCTCATGGTATTTTTTTCCAAGCATTGTGTACGTGTTTGAAGCTTCTTTCCGATTGCTGCAATTCCAACGTCCAAACATCTTCCTAACTTCTTCGATGAAGTCATATATTGGCAATTCTCTTGATGATACAAGTGCGACATTGATTGATTCAGCAATATTTGACGTTATGGTCCATCCCCGGTTAACATGTGCATACCACCTAGCTCACTTTTCGTATTCAGCTAATTTCAAGTATTCTTTCACCCGAATATCTACCTTCTCCACCTTTTTCATTAGACTATCAAATTCATCCTGAGTGTATGCTATTGCCATCGAGAAGTGTATCTCGCTCAACTTTGAATGACTTATTTTGAATTTCTTATATACGTTGTTCCATAGATGCCATATACAAGTAAAATGGGGTACCGTAGGATACACTCTCAATATAGATGCTCTCGTTCCTATCTGAAACGATGCACATGTTTTCCCTCTCACCATATGCTTCCTTGAATTTCTCAAAGAACCATGACCAAGCAACATCATTCTTTGAATGAACAACACCATATGCTAGTGGCATTATATGATTTGTAAATACAATTGCATACATATTAAAAAAATATTATTCAATCTGTATTAGGCAGTAAACTTAACAAATTTTATTATAATCCATATATATTGTTTTTAACATATTCACATGTACCATCCAATGTGCTGGCCGAAATGAATGTCCCTGTGTATGCCGATTTTAGGTGGATGCCATCCACAACCACAATGGGTCTACAATGATCGAACCCCTTTATAAAAGGTGTAACAACTCGGTCGGTTGTTTTGAGTGTATTAGCCCTGATTTCCTATTTTATAGTTTTCCCATGTCTGTTTCTGCCTATGTGACTTGCCGAGATGTCCTGTTTTTGGTTTCAGAGTATTTTGGGACACTTAGTCCCTAAAATAGAAGTTTAAGTCTTATGAGTTTGACCGTAGTCAGAATTGTGTGAAGAAGACTCCGTAATGGAGTTCCGTCGGCCCCGTTAGCTCCGTTGGGTGATTTTGGACTTTGGAGCATGTCTGGAATGTAATTTGGAGGTCCGTAGTAGAATTAGGCTTGAATTGACGAAAGTTAAAATTTTGGCGAATTTGGCAGGCAATGGAAAATTTGATATTAGGGTCAGATTTGATTTCCGGGAATTGGAGTAGGTTCGTGGTGTTATTTAGGACTTGTGTGCAAAATTTGAGGTCAATCGCATGAGGTTTTTTAGGTTTCTGCGTCGTTTGTGGAATTTGGAAGTTTAGAAGTTCTTTAGGCTTGAATCCGGGTGTAATCTGTGTTTTGATGTTGTTTTGGGTGATTGGAAGGTTCGACTAAGTTCATATTGGGTTATATGGCTTGTTGACATGTTTTAGTTGAGGTCCCAGGGGCCTCAGGTGGAATTTGGGAGGTTTCGGACTTGGTTTTGGATTTGAAAGGGCAGCTGAAGTGTTGCTGCTACTGGTGTAACCGCACATGTAGAGTGGGCACCGCAGGTGCGAGTCCGCAGAAACGGGGATGGAGCCAGTAGAAGCGGCCAAGGATGAGTTGAGCAGAGGTCGCAGGTGCGAAGATTTTCCCACACATGCGATGGCCACAGGAGCGGGTAGGTGGGTATAGGAACGAGATCGAGCCGCATGTGTGATGGGTTTCCTGCACCTGCGATAGGCGCAGATGCCGTCTTGTAGCCGTATGAGCGGAATTTGAGATTTTAAGTGGAATCCGCACTTGCGATGGATTTTTCACAGATGCGACAGTGGGTCCGCAGATGTGAAAAGTATAGGCAGAAGGTTTAAAAGCAAGGGTTCGCGATTTGAGTCTTATTTCACCATTTGAGACTCGGACTTAGGCAATTTTGGAGAAGATTATCGAGGGGATTATTGAGGTAAGCTTCATGTACTCGTTTTTATCATAAATCTTGATTCCCCATTGATTTTCCCACCTAATTAGTGAGAATTTGAAGGGGAATTTGGGGGTTTAGGGTTGAGAATTGGAGAGTGGATTTTGGGGATTTGGAGGACCAAATGATGTCGGATTTTGATGAATTTAGTATGGTTAGACTCGTAAGTGAATGGGCTTTCGGATTTTGTGACTTTTATCAGATTTCGAGACGTGGTCCCCGAGTTGATCCGATTTTGGATTTGGGTTATAATTTAGTAGTTTTCTTTTGGAATTGATCCATTTAGCCTATATTGATTATCTCGTACTGTTTGTGGCTAGATTCGGGGCATTTGGAGATTGATTCGAGGGGGAAAGGCATTGCAGAGTAGGATTTTGTGCGGTTTGAGATAAGCAACAGTTTTAAATCTGGTCCTGAGGGTGTGAAACCCCAGATTTTTGGTATGGTGTGATTATTTTGCAGGTGACGCACATGCTAGGTGACGGGCGTGTGGGCGTGCACCGTGTGGGATTGTGACTTGGTCTATCCTGTGAGACTGTAAAGTCGAATAGCTTATTGTTAATACCTGTTCACTTTGTCTTCTAAAAATTTGACTGTCATTCAAGTTAGAAACCATGCTTAAGCCATATGATATCACTGTTGGGACCCTCAGTGGTCAGGTTCTTGTTGAATTAGCCGCTATTTACTGTCTTGTACTCAGTCATAGTTTGACTTGCATATCATATCTCTATTTCTTCTTGTTTTCTTGTTGATACTTGATATTATCTCTTTTGGATGATTTGTATGATTTCTGGAAGCCCAAGAGGGTTGGACAAGTTAGTGACTGAGATAGGGCCCAAGTGCCGAGTAGTGAGCTATGTTGTAACGGCCGGCCGATCGTTTTGGGAGTTATAGCCCTGTTTCCCCCATTTTTGTTTCCTTTATGCTCTTAAGCTATATTATGATATACCGGGTTAGTTGGTTCGGGCCTGTAGTGGTTTGAGAGTGGAATGAGACACTTAGTCTCTTATTTAGAACCTTAAGTTGGAAAAGTCAACCGGATGTTGACTATGTGTAAACGATCTCGGATTTGAATTCGGATGGTTCTGTTAGCTCCGTTAGGTGATTTTGGACTTAGGAGCGTGTCCGGAATGTGATTTGGAGGTCCGCGGTAGAATTATGCTTGAATTGGCAAAATTGAAAATTTGGCGATTTCGGTCGGCAGTGGAAAATTTGATATCGGGGTCGGAATGGAATTTCGAAAGTTGAAAAAGGTTCGTAGTATCATTTGTGATGTGTGTGAAAAAATTGAGGTCATTCGGGCGTGGTTTGGTTGGTTTCGGCATCAGTTGCCGAATTTAAAAATTTAGAAGTTCTTAGGCTTGAATCCGAGGGTAATTTGGTGTTTGGATGTTGTTTTGAGTGATTCGAAGGTTTGACTAAGTTTGTATGTTGATATATGACTTGTTGGTATTTTTGATTGAGGTCCCGAGAGCCTCGGGGTGATTTCGGGTGGTTAGTGGATTTGTCACAGTTGGAAAATGCAGCTGAAGCTATTGCTACTGTTATTTTCGAACCTGAGGAAGAAAGAGTCGCAAGTGCGCGTGGGGAGTTCGCAGGTGTGGGCAATGCTGGGCTAGGAAGGTTGCGCATGTGCGAGTTGGAGGTCCATCTGCGAGCCCGCAGGTGTGAAACCTGGGGCGCAGATGTGGAAAGGGAGATGCTGGGCAGGCTTCGTAGAAGCGGAGGAAACGCGCAGGTGAGCTTTTGCAGGCGTGAGAATTTGCTGCGCAGATGCGAAAATGTGAGGCCAAGGCTGGAGCGCAGGCGCGAAGGATTTTGCTGCACCTGCGAGCCCGCATGTGCGAGGCCTGGAGCGCAGGTGCGGAAGCTGGGGAATTAAGTGGAGTTCACCGATGCAGCACCTTGACCGCAGGTGAGGTCCCGCAAGCGCGGAAAAAGAGCCCGCAGGTGCGAAAAACCTGGGCAGAAACCATAAATAAAACCCTTCGCGAATATTGGTTCATTTCCACCATTTTCAAGTCGGTTTGTGGAGCGTTTGGAGTGATTTTGGAAAGGTGATTCAACGGCTATCAGTGAGGTAAGTTGCTTGAGCCCTAATACATGTATATATGGTGATTTTCCATTGTTTAGTCATTGTAATTAGTGAAAATGAGGGGTTAGGGCTTGTAATATTTGGAGAGTAATTTTAAGGATTTAAAGGACCAAACAATGTCAGATTTTGATGAATTTGGTATGACTAGACTCGTGAGTTAGTGGGCTTTCGGGTTTTATGACTTTTGTCGGATTTCGAGACGTGGGCCTGGGGGCCGGGTTTGAGACAATTTGGGTTTTGGTCTAATTTGATAGTTTTTCTTGTGGAATTCATTCCATTAGCATATATTGATGGTATTGTACTGATTGTAAATAGATTTGGAGCATCTGGAGGCCGAGTCCAGAGGCAAGAGCATTGCGGGGTAGAGATTTGACTGGTTTGAGGTAAGTAACGATTGTTAATCTAGTCCTGAGGTTACGAAACCCCGGATTTTGTATCATTCTACTATTGTTAGTGACGCACATGCTAGGAGACGGGCGTGTGGGCGTGCACTGTTGGGGATTGTGACTTGGTCCATCCCGTAGCAACCGTAAAGTTGCATACTTTGTTGAAACTATATGATACTTATATGTTTTAGAAAGAATTTCTGTAAATTGGGCTGAATGCCATGTTTGGGCTTTGCGCCAGTGCTGTTTGGACCCTTAGGGGCTTTTTCTTACTATCCTCTCATTGTTTTCGATTGAAAATCTATACTCAGTCATGTTTATACTTGTTTACCGCATAACTTAGTTTTATGACTCTATTTTGATGCATATAAATATTTTGGGCTGAATGCCATGTTTTACTGAAATGTTCGAGTGGCTTGAGAGGTTTATGACTGAGTGAGTCCAAGGGCTTGATTTGTAAGGATATTTATGGGATCGGGTTGCACGCCGCAGTATGTTGATATCGGCCGAGGGCCTGATTGTGAGGATGAGTATGGATCGGAGCGCCCGCCTGCAACATACTTTATTATTATAGCACGTGAGTTGTCCGTGCAGATTATAGCGCTTGGGCTGAAGGAGCCCCTTCAGAGTCTGTACACACCCCCAGTGAGCGCAGGTACCTACTGAGTGCGAGTGCCGAGTGCCGAGTGACTGGGAGGCATGAGTGATTGTGAGGTATGCCCAAGTGGCAAGAGTGATTGTGAGGTATGCCCGAGTGGCACGAGTGACTGTGAGGTTTGCCCGAGGGGCTGTTTATGATTTCATCATTTTTGCTTACCTTTGCATTTTTTCTCTGTTTGAAAACTGTTGAAAAATATCTTTAAATGATTTTTACTAGAACTGGGTTAAACGAGATGTTTTGATTCAAATCCTGATTTTAAAAGCATG